TGAAGAGAGGGAGAGAATGGGTTCTTCTTCAAGATTCTTATAAGAAACTTTTAATATGTGTCACTTTACAATTGGTCTAGAATTTACATTTTAAATTAAAATTTAATTATTTAATAAAATTATATAAAAACAATAATATTTTATATTTAAGAAACCTATTTGGGATTCTCACCATTGAAGATGCCTTGAGGTTCTCTAACTAGAAACCCATTAGAAATTCCCTTGCCACATGTATGTTTATTAGTGGTTAATTTCTCTTCAAATATTAAAATTTAATTGAATAACTAAATTATATTAATATATTAATATTATATAACTTAGAAACTCATGTTTATGATTTTAGAACTCCCACCACATGTTGATTTCTCATTGGTTCAGTATTTTTTTAATAATTTAATTTTTAAATAAATAATTAAATCAAATAAAAATTACTATTAGAATAATATATGTTTTAGATCCTCAATGGATTTTTTACCATTAAGGGTGCTCTTATGGATGCTCTTAAACTCTTTGAATAGTTTCATGATATCATCGAACAACTTTGGGTAATTGCTAAACATTAAGACAATCCCACGTATATTTTGCTTATTGGTGGGGATTCCAAATATGCGAAAGTACTTGGTGCTCTTCGAGAAAAATGATGTGAAATCCTTTTACTCTACCCGCGAAAGTCGGTATCGAAGGTTGTACTTAAGGAATGCAGCTTGTGTTGTTGTGTCAACTACGCATACGATGTCAATGGCACACTAATTTGGGGTTTGCCTGGTTCGCAAGGTCAGAATGATACCGGACATCCTCCTCCACGACGTTCTGGTCCAAATCCTCCCCCACCACCACCAGGTTCCGGACATCCTCCTCCACACCGTCCCGGTCCAAATCCTCCACCATCAAGCAATGGGCTTATATTCCGTTTTACAGGGCCCACCAGTTTAATCTTTATTATTAAATAAACAAATCCTCCCCCACCATCATGTTCCGGTCAAAATCCTCCACCACCAAGCAATGTTTTATTTCTTTTTCATCAAATATTTGTTTAATGTTTATCTAGTTCTTTTAATCTAATTTTTTATTAACTAAGACTCGGATCCCCC